TATTTTCTCAAATTTTTTTCTTATGAATTGATAAAGCTACCCATTTCATTATGTATGGAGTCAATTTTTTTTATTGGAGTTAAAATTAACGTAGATATATGACCGAACCTAACCAACCCTACCTAACCTAACCTATCTTTATAGGTTAGGTTAGGTAGCCGAAAAAGTTAGGTTAGGTTAGGTTAGGTTGGTTAGGTAGTCGAAAAACAATTATTTCATGAAAACTTGGCTTATTAGGCAAATCGGGCCTTGCATAGTAGGCTGAGAAGTGCGTTCTGGCTACTAGGTACGATATATATAGATATATATATATATATATATATATATATATATATATATATATATATATATATATATATATATATATATATATATATATATATATATGTGCGAACAAGCCTGAACGGTCTCCAGGCATATATGCAACTGAAAACTCACACCCCAGATGTGACTCGAACCCATACTTCCAGAAGCAATGCATCTGATGTACAGGATCCCTTAATCACTTAATAATGATAATACTTAAAATAAACCAATAATTAACAATTTATTGAAAATAAAGAAAAAACAAAAAGTCCCAAGTAGCACGGGCTATAGTAAGCCCGTAGTGGACTTACCTGGCACAGGAGCGGGGCTGTAACTCATCGTCTATAAGGATTAGTTAGTCCAATTGTAGGCTGACTGCGGTCTGTGAATGTGCCAGAATGAGATGAAAATCTGTATCTAAGTTGCACCGTGAGTGTCGTTGGGGGTGGGTTAGTCATGGAGGTTAGTTTAATAAGGTCCTGGATTAACCAATTCTTTTAGACAATCATTGGTGAGGTGGTTACTCTTGAGTGCGATCCTGTTACCCTGTACTCTTGGGGCAATCCTCAGCGGCGGGGGTTCAAATTCTGGACGTGGTCAAAACAGTATGTATGCATGTATATATATGTATAAGGATATATAATCCTTACCCAAATGTGTAGGGAAAATTGTTGGAGGTGTGGGACAAACATACGCTGCTCAGGGTAGGCTTCAATTAGACGACTGAAGAATTATCATTAATTATTCACACAATTCCATCCAATTCTCATGGATTTAATTCTGGTCAAGTGTGAAATATTAGTGGAGATGGCCGCAGACTTTAGCATGTAGGTTTTATAGAAATAATATTTGCACAAAGACTGTCAGTGTCAGGTTAAACAACTGGCTGACTTCCACACAAGCAGAACTAGCAGCATTACACCTAGCTACCAGTACATTAAAAAAACATTGGAGGAGGAATAATATTTTGTGATTCAAAGTCTGCTCTTCAAACAATCGAAAACTTCTCTTGGAAGATCGACAGCAAGAACCTCATACTCCCAATTATAAATGACCTAATTGATGCACAGAGTAAAGGGTCTCGAATCTCCTTTGTATGGATACCTTCACACATAAATATAACCCATCATAATGAGACAGTCATTGCAGCCAAATTAGCATGTAACAAGGATGAAGTTGAATTAGATCTAGGTATCCCCATCCAACCCATTCTCGCACTTGCTTATAGTCAATATTGGCTTATGTAATAAGTGCATATGTGACATACTAATTGATTGTTAATATTTTAGTTTACCTTGAAAAGCTTCATAGAAAATACCGACCTCACCTAACCTTCTTAGTATGTTAAGATAAGCATCTTATTGCTTCTTATTTCCAATTATTACTTAACCTATCAACGGTATAGGTTAAGTAATAATTGTAATTAAGAAGCAAT